CGCTCCCCACAACAATCCGGCAAGTATAGTCTAACCTCATCGTATCCCCCAAATAACCCCTATAATACTCCCTTCAATAATCCCATGTCTAACCCCGTTTAAGGAGTTTCGACTTTAAGTCATCTTATATGTTTTACTGTAGGGCCCTTAGACTGTGCATCCTCCAAGCAGGAATCTGGCAAATCTGAGAAGTATCAATCAGGTGGACCCCCCCACCCAGTACTAGTGACTACAAGGGATAATAATAAGGATCATATTAGGGTCCTCTTACGTTGCGCAGTTTGGGGCGGGTCTAGGGTCATCCCGGGGCTCTCTAAGTCCATAAGTATATATATATATATATATGGTCACCCCCCCAGAACCAACCTCGAAGCATTTTCCAACATTTCCAGGGTTGCCAGACAAAGCAAGTGAGACCGCCGATCCTTCTCAAAAACCATGGAACTCATTAATCTGCATCTGTTCTGGGCAGAAATATGCAGGGTAAATTTGGGATTTAAGTTAAACGGTAGGAACATTAGCTGGGCCAACTTGTTCCAATATTTCCACGATTTCCAAACAATCGGCTGCAGACCTTACTTTTTCCTCGACAATCATGGAATTCGTGGAAAAACTTGGCCAGGCCAAGTTGTTCCACAATTTTGTTGTGGAATTGGTGGAAAAAAGTTGGCCAGGCTAACTTTTTCCAAAACTTCCACGATTTCCAAAGTATCAGCTGGAAATCGTGGAAATTTTGGAAAAAAGTTAGCCTGGCCAACTTTTTTCCACCAATTCCATAACAAAAATTGTGGAAAAACTTGGCCTGGCCAAGGTTTTTCCACGAATTCCTTGACTTTTTGAGAAACGCCGGGTGTTTGCAGCTGTTTTTTTGGAAGCCACGGAACTTCATGGAAACTGTTTTGTATTCTGGAGTTTGGTAGAAAATGTTGGCCGGGTTAACTTTTCCCTTTCCTTCTTGAAGTTCAGTAGAGGAAATGGTGAAAATGACAGGGCCAACTTTTTCCACGCATTCTTTGGTATAATTTTGTGCAAAGAGATCTCCAGATGAAAAGATAAAAAACAAAGTTGCCCTGCTATTGTCTTCCATGGATTCCAGGCTTGTTTGGTTTTAATTCATGACACTGACCCCACAAATTCTCCTAGCCGTCATCGGTAGCATGGAAACAGCTCGGGCCCGCTAACGGTGCTTTATATGGGTTGCATGGACAAGCATTAGTGAGTTCATTCTACAAACATTTTTCCATGCCTTCCACAGCTTCTCCACTGTAGGGCACAAGTCATCAAGCAATCAATCAATCAATCCCTCAATCAATATGGTTGTGCTACCAGAACCAGTAGTTATCAGTTCTGACTTCTTCAGTCTTTTGCATTGAGCTACCCTGATTCATCAAATAACAATGACATTCTTCGATTGTTCTAATGAAGTTCTGTGCATGACGGCTCAATTTCATCAACGCGCTTTTCACCATGTAAATGACGCCCTGGTTTTATATGGTTTTTGACAGGTGTTATGTATTTAAGTTAAATGAGGGAATCCAAAGGAACTTCACTTCGAATTAGAGGTCTGCTCGCAAATTTCAAAAACCTTTGGGCTTTGTAAGGTCTCTATACATACAAGGGGTAGCAACAACTCAATTTACATGTCATTAGAAGGAGGGGCTCCATTTACTTTCTAGACATATTTGGCTTGTACATGGTTCCATATCTGATTTCTAGTTGCGGGTTTTGAATGCATAGTGATCATGTTTTCCGCAGCTGGTTGACCATTCAATCCCTAAGTGTCCTCAATAGAAGAGATGATTCAACTCAATAGCAGGGATGGCTATCCTTGTAGCAGAAACCGTTTTGGTCTTCACCGAAGTCATCACTTCAAAGCCGCCTAATGAACAACATCACGTATTTGGGTTCCCTAATTATTTTTTGAGGAATGGTTTTGTTGGCAGATGGAGCGATGAATCTGAGGAAAACACACACTCACATCTCATGGCCATTGCACCGTAATCATCTGGCCCATACTGTTGAAAGTAATAGTACAGTTATGTCGGCCACGATGCACCTGGACAGCCTTCAGGGTTGGTTCTGTGGGTGGTGAGCATATACATATATACATATATTATATATATATGTAAATATGTATATAACCTACATTGGGCCCTCAAGTTCATAGATCACACCGAGGTTGGGCCGTTTGGAGCCGTAGGGTCACAATAATCCTACACCTGAAGCCCGAGACCCGGGTCCCATTGATCATACGGTTTCCGTTAATGGATGAGAGGCAGGACGCGCACCTTCCACTGAGGCTGGCACCCTTAACCGTGTCCACGGAGACCTCCACCCCCGAAGGCGTCCTCCGACGCCCTCATGAGCAGCTTTAGAGTTCAGACTTGTCCACTTCATGGCTGCCTAGAGCAAGGCAGACGCCCAGAAATTGGCGGCAATTGTACCAAGATGTTAAGTACAACACCCGTGTTAGTCGACATATGCGTTGCTCTAGGTAGGGTTGTCCAAACCATGGCTACATGATTCATGTTGTGTTTTCGCGAAATGATAATGCAATCATCCGCGCTCTCTAACACCTGTATCCGCCTGATTTTACCCAGTCTCCGACAGTGGATAAAAAATGGCCAAGTACATAACACCAGGTCAAAAAGGCGAGATAAGGCGAGTATTCCGCTACGTGCGTGTTGCTATGATGTACCCAGAAAGTCCAGTATCCCTGCATTAGGGAATATACCTTATATCATAATAAGGACCTGAAAAAAATCAAAGGTATATTCCCGAATTAAGGGATCTTGGACTTTCTGGGGAGTGCGGCTCCACCCCTGGAAACCGAGCTCTCGAACCACACGCCCGAAATCCGACCTGCCGCAATCCTGGCCTCTAACCGCCGACCATGGAAGTCGTAGGGTTTGGGGTGTAGGGTTTTTTTGTGCGGGGATATCCTACAAAAGTCCTGAAAACGGAGGTGTGGGGGGTCCAGGTAAACTCTAATCCCTAAATCCCAGCTGAAGCCCCTCCAAAACGCCCCCAACAGCACCTCAAACCCCCTAAGCCCTAAACCCGAAACCCTACAACCCTAGCCCTATAAACCCCAACCCTCCCCCCCAAACCGCAACTTCCCACACTCTCCAGACAAAGGAAAGCACGTGACGCACGTGGCCGCAGACCACTGTTTCGTGCTGTTTCCCGGTATGACACTTGGCATTGAGGTCCAAAGTCAGGGTCTACGTTTTATGGTTGAGGGTTTAGGGCTTACGCTGGAGCTCCAAGTTTATGGATCACGCCTACCTTGAACCCTAAAGTCTCCAAACGTGAGCTACATTGGGTAATTTGCATTCTTCGGGTTCAGCGGATTGTAGGATTCAGGATGTAAGGTCTTGGCGTCAAAGTCTTGGCATTGGGGTTTTGGCCTCAGGGATTGCGAGACAAAGCGGAAATACTCCTCAATGAGATCCCAACCCAACTGGACCCTAAACCCTTCACCCTTCCTGGCACTCCTTACCTTCCAAGTCCGAACTGACATGGAACCTCAGGGTTTATGATTTAGGGACCTAAACCCTAAGCCTGAAGAAGGGGCCATGCAAAATCAAGCGTCCTTCTGAAGGTTGCCTATATGGGATTTGCATGTCAGTCTGTTGGAGGGCAGCTGCCAGAGCAGAGCTCCTGCAACTCGAGAAATCTCCAGACGCACTTTAGGATAAAAGACTCCCATGGGTACGTAGAAACTCCTCCTACCCTCTAGTAGGGCATGTTAGGGCCTAAGTACCCACTATTAGGGACCATCTATTCCCAATTAAGGGTACAAGGAGGGTCCTGGTAAACAGGGCTGCAGATGCCGGATAGGGATGCCATTGACCTAGAGCCGGTTGTATGCGGAGCGATGTGGGTTTTGTGGTTAGCAACCCTTCTCCAATGGTTTGGAGTTTGGCGTTGAGGGTTCGGTAGCGGCTTATAACCATGGTACACTGGTACAATATGGAAGGTTCCCTGGCTTCAATGATGCCATATTCTTTTTGATCCATTGAGCACATTGATTTGCCAAAATTCCACATTTAGGTAACCCAAATATAGCCCTCGACTAGAACCTGACGTCCCACATCAAAAGCCAATGATGGGAGTTTACCATCGCTGCACGATCTGCATACTGACCGATCCCTCAGATTCCTCATTTGCAGGACCCCAGGCCCTAAACCCCTGAGCCCCGAAGGACGGCAACGTGGTATGCGCGCTGATCGCTGGAAGAGCCGATGTTAATGCTGTTACAGAGGACGGGCGTTGGTTAAGGGGGTCATTGTTTCTGGGGGTGATAGTAGGAGTGGCTGTGCATCTTGTGATAGGCGCAAAAGGGGGACATGAGTTAACCTTCTTTGTTGTTCTTTGTTGCGGTGTGACCACCAAGGAAGTCACCGCTTAGGGCAGAAAGCCAATAGAGCGAGGACCGCTGGAGACGAGCTAAGCGTTGAGGGAAGCAAGATGAAAGTCCTTGCATACCCTGTGTTGGGCTTTCATGATTTCTACCACCCAAAAAAGCTTTGTACGACCTAACCTTACTCCTTCTTAGTAGGGAATACGAGAATATAATCCCGATTTAAGCCCTACATAGTATATTCCCATATTCCCGACTAAGAACCAGTAAGAAGAAACTTGGTATGACCTACCTTTCATCATGTACCACAAACATGCGAAGCACCTCCTTGCTGAGCCCAGAACTAGTCAGATCCCTCACGAACTCTGGAGGCCGTAGATCCCTAGAACCTAAACTCAGCCTAAACCCTGAAGCCCTAAACCCCAAAGCGAAAGTCCTAAACCCTAAAGCCTATAAGCGCTAAACCCTAAAGCCAAAGCTCCAAGCTCGATGTAGGATGGCACAACGCCCCTCTTTGCTGCTGTCGAAAGTCACACGGCTGGGCTGGATTAGGGCTTAAGGCTTGACACCTGAAATACACCAACACCGAGGGCTTGTGTTATGGTTTAGAGTTTAGAGCCGATGTTTAGAGCGTGGGGTTTTGTGTTAAGGCTTTGTCAAGTCTAGGGTTTTGGGTTTAAGGCCTATAGCGCGATTATTATTATTGGTGTCTCACTACAGACACCATAACTTCGATTGCATACTCTCAGGGAGCCCAATACCCCTTGTAAGGAACACAACTTGCCAGTAATGGACAACCACCCCTAAACCCTGAACCCATCCCCTAAGCCCTAAGCCCTAAACCTCAAACCCTAAACTGGGGATGCCAGTTTTGGTCCCTGAGGATCTGATTGGTCTTGGGCTGTAGGGGTTTAGGGTTCAGGGTTGAGGGTTCACGGAGTTTGGGTTTGAAAGCCTCTTGGTTTTGGGATTCAGGGGATTTGAAGGTCCAATGGGCCTAGGGTCGGTGTCATAGGTTTCGGGGTTGAGGGCTTAGGGCCTATGTTTCTGTAGTTTTCACTTACTTTTAGGTAGGGTCGCGGGGCGCTTACTGCCCAAGGAAAATTCATTCAGTTTATCAAGGACCTGTCACAAACCCCAAGCCCTAACTAAACCCTAAACCCTGAACCCTTAGCTCTAAATAAACCCCAAATCCTGAACCCTAAGCCCTAAACCCTGAATACCTGAACCCTAAGCCACAAGTAAACCCTGAGCCCTAAGCCCTGAACCCGGACTTATGGCAGAAAGATGAAGTCTTTCACCTGAAAAAGGCCGCGCCTGCCTGCTGTACACAAAAAATTGCCTATCATTGAGGAAATGCGGGCCCCAAAAGTATAGCCTTTTGGGCTTAGGGTTTTCGGTTAGGGTCTGGGTTTTACGCTCCGACTGGCAGGCGGAAAAGCCAAGCCTCGAACTCCCAAGAGAGCCAAGGTGGAGATCTGCGGGTAGTAAAGGTTTTGCTGGACGCCGGGGCTGACATTGACGCTCGGTAGATATCTTTTAGATATCTGGTCGTTTCCAAGACCTGACGTGACAATAATCCTTGTTGTAGGAGAGTCGCCGCCAAAAAGGATCCATATCCGTAAAAATCCTCTTCTACTTCCCAGCTTTTTTGAAGGCATCTCGAGCACAAATGGCACAAAAGGGGTTGTAGGGATTGGACAAGACTATCCTGAAGATTTACATCCTGTGCCCTGTTTTTTGATCACAACCTCCGGTCCCATTCCCGACAGTCATTCTTCCCAACTAGTACACCTATATCAGGATATAAGGGGCATACTCGTGATTTCGAGGAAGGGGTGCCAGAATCTGTCCCAAAACCCCATGAAGCCTACACCCTAAACCAGTATAGGCTCGTGCGTTACTCCGTTCAATTAAATGTGAGCCTGGGATTGCGGCGTTCACTGTTTCGTGGTTGGTGGGTTACCCTTCCTCAGACAAACATGGAAGCTCAAAGGGGCTCCACGAGGACTATTTGTTGATCAAAGGGTCTCTTTGAGAGTCCATGTTTGTTTGGACAAGAATTTCTACCCCTATCATAAAACACAACCCTTAACCCTTAACCGTTCAAGGTTTAGGTTTCTGTTTTGAAATGGGGGTATAAATTCTAAACCGTAAGCCATATACCCTAAACCCTACACTATCGGAGAGGGTAGTAATGAAGCCCATGATTGCAAAAACCTTAAACCGAACTTCGTAAATCCGAAGCCCTAGGCCCTAGTCCCTAAACTTTAAACCTTATTCATTTTTCTGAACATTAATCCCTACACCCTAATATTGAAAAGCCCTAGACGCACCCTTCAAACCGGACCTGCTCCAAATGATCAGGGTTGTCGGGATCCCTTTAGATGGGATAAGGGGGGGGGGGGGGGGGG